GGGCAAGACATGAGCAACAGGAGACAATTGTCTGGAGACAGTTGATTTGGAGAGCATGATGCTCTGCCAGTGGTACTTTAAATCTTATGCTTAAAAAAATAAAAATGGTTGTGTGACCTTCCAAAGGTCACTTTGCAGCCCTTAGTGAGGGACACCCTGAGAGACGCTCGCTGTGGTCAGCAGGGCCTTCAACTGACTAAGGTGTTGTCCGTGTTGTGTTAGAGTGACTTCGTTAGCATGTTCTCCACCTTTTTGTCCTTACAAACCGCTTGTTAAACATCTTATGTGATATCTGCGCTTCTGGCACATGAAGACCTAGCGATCTTTCCGGTTAAAGCTGGTTGAATTGATTGACAAATGTAAAAGCTTAATGAAGCTTTTTCCTTGATAAATTTAACCTATTGGGATTTTTAGTTACTGAGTTTATGATTGTATATCATGTACAAGGGAAACATTTGTAAAAGCATATTTTCTTCACTTAACATAGATTGATCACCTATTATCTATAGTTAACTAATGTTTTTTTCAATGTTCTGTTTTAGAAAATTACGCAATGCAAAAATGGCATGTTAACGAAGGACTTGCTGCATGCCGTCCACCCTGAACCACCTGCCCTCAAAACCTCCCTGTGTCTGAAGGAGCAGAGTCTGCTTCCGGTGAACGACACACTTCGAGCTATAGAGGGCAGCAACCCAGCAGATAATCGGTACTGTGACTACCCCGAGGAGTTTTCCAAGCCGGAGCCTGCTGTGGTCAGCTTGGAGTACGGTGTGGCCAGGATGACCTGTTAGACTCCTTCGGTGTTTGCCTGGACTGACTGTAGTGGTGAGGATGGTCTGGACACATGGGCACGGGGTTTGTCGAACGGCTTTGGGCTTAACAGCAGGTGAATAGTTGAGAATAGGATCATAACTGCTCTTGAGAGGAATAAGTCAGCTAAGTGCCACTTGTAGCAAGAGCAATATTCATTTCTGTAGGAAGTGAGTAGTAGTGTGTGCACTTACTAGAAATGATTTACACAGTATACGAGTGAGCTGACGGTCTGTTGATTCAGATGTTAATTCCAGCCAGGCTCAGATAGCTTTCCTGAAGTGTAATTTAACTCGGAGAAAACAGACCTGACAACCTGAACCCTTCATGATTGACATGGCATGTGCTTTCAGGTCTAGAGATGCGTGACTGTGCGTGTATTTTGCCATTTAGTGACGTTTTAACATTGAAGTGCCATGAAAAGTACTTCTGAGACAGCCTTAAAGTAAATTCTCAGTTTATTCTTTACGTTTTATAGCCAAGGACAAGGTGTCTGATTTCTCCTTTCGTCAGCCTTACTTCCTGAAAAGAACTGCACTCTCCTGACAGGAGGGTCTCCCGCTGGCTGCCCGCCTCCTGCATAGAAGGTTGCAGGCTCTGGTGTTTGTAATTGGCCAGCCCCGCCCACACTCAGAGCATAACGCCTCCCAAGGCTTTGTTCTGCTTGCCATTTGTTTCAAGCTGCAGCTGACAGTTCATTGTTTACAGCTTAGAGGTCTGATTTCTTAGACACATGACCACGTTTGGCATTTACTTTCGGATTACTGCATTCTGTTAATTCTTACATCGTGGTTGGCTTGAATCCTTTGCTAACCGCACATTTAAAGCAGCAAAGCTCTAAAGTGTTCTGAATACTAAGTACATTCTTAGCTGCCTGATCCCCTAGAACATTTCACGTTCGTGTTCCTGCCTACAAACTTTCAGGTAAAGCAAAAGGGGTGTACTGACAGTGGAGATCTTGTTTGGTTGTGTGAATTTTGAAGCAGGCATTTTTATGTGGAATATATTTCTTTTCTCTTAACTCTAGAAGGGACAGAAAGGGAGCACTGAGGGGAGCCAGTTAATGTCCAAGAAAAGCAGCTTTAACTCTGGGAAAGGGTTTGCTTTGCTTTGTTACAGTCATTCTTTATTCTGTGCACTAGGGCATACCTATCTTTTCAAAAAATCACTTTCAGTTGACAGTATTACCAGCTGGCTTTGAAACGAAGTTTAATATCATGGACGGCATGAGGTACAGTTCAAGGGCACTAAGAAATCTGCATATGTCATCTTACATATCTCCTGATTACACCTATATCTGTAATATTTCTTGTATTACTTTTCAACATATGTATCTTTTTTTTAAAAAAAGAAGAAAGCTCTATTGTATGTGATTTTTATCTAGTCCTGTTTATTTTTCCAATTCACTTCTGAAAGACCTTATGTAATAAAAACACTGCATTTTAAAAAGTAACAAATGTACTATAAGAATATAACATATAATTAATGGTGTTTAGACATTGGAAAAGGAAACTTAATCTCTGTAGCCACAACAGGAAGCTTTTGTGCCTTGGTTCCAACAGGTTGTGGTTTTAAACTCTTCTATGGCAGACTTCTTGTAGTCATCATTTTGGTTCATTATGCTAATCTTCAACTTCACATGCACATATGTGTTTACGTGCTCACACACAGATAACATCCTGGGTGATGTACAGGGCATATGTTGGTGAAAGTCTGTGTAAATGTCTTAAAAGATTGGATTTATGTTCATTGTGTTTGAAGATGTATAGCATGTAAATTATTTCATGTATTATTTAAAGGCAATTAAATGTTCATGTTTTCCTTTGAATGTTTTTGTTTGTTTGTTTTTGTTTTTCAAGACAGGGTTTCTCTGTGTAGCTTTGGAGCCTGTCCTGGAACTCACTCTGTAGCCCAGGCTGGCCTTGAACGCATAGAGATCTTCCTGCCTTACCCCCCCCCCCCCAAGTGCTGGGATTAAAGGTGCGCCATCACCTCCCGGCTTAAATGTTTTTCTTTTGGGAAAAAAACAAATGAGGATTTTGGAGGAGAACCAACCACTGTCACTTTACTAGCCGGGCGTAATTCCTGACTGCTTGCTAAATACTTCTCCTTATACTCACAGATCAGGTTTTCTCTTGTCCCTCATTAAAGAAACCTCTCTTTGTAGCAGATGGAGACCATACCAGAAACCCACACTGGCCAAAATGCACAGAACAACTGACCCTGGGGTGCCTGGTACCCACTGGCACAGCTACAGCCCAGCCCCAGATGTAAGGTTCAGGGAGCGGAGTAGGGTGGACAGAAGGAGTGTAAGAGCCGGGGCACCAGAAAGTCTGCTTGAGACTGGGTCCTTAGAAATGACAGGAGCTACACCTGTCGTACCCTAACAATGTGGCCGCCTAAACAAGACCTGGACAGTGACAGCACCAGCTGGCCTGGCAACATGGAGGGGGAGATCTCACAGGACCTCACCGTAGACATACAGCTACAGGGAACTAATGGTTGCGGAGAGAGGGAGAAGCGGTCTGCCCCAGGGATAGTCCAGGAAATGTTATCCCCGAGCGAGTGGTCAGCCCTGAAGTCATGTCCATACAAGCAAGTCTCAAAAGGGGAAACAGAGACAAATGGCATCAGGTTGTGATTCTTTGTCCCCACTCAGGCAAAGGGTCTTACACATTCCCTTACCATAACAGTAAAGTTTTTAGCATTTCACGTTCCGAAGGTTGTTGATAAATTCCTTGTATATACAAAACCGCTTTCTGAATAGTTAACCCAGGCTAGTGGTGGCCAGGCTCAGTAGAGAGAGGTGACAGTTGTGAAAGTTCCTTCATCAGTGGTGTGTGTTCTGGGCCATTGCCTGCTTGCATGCGGAAGGCTGGGTCCACCAAGTAGATGCATTCAAGACGAACTGACCAAGGGGCAGGCTTGGATGCCATTGTAAAGAAGAAATCATGGGCCAAGAAATGGGCAGCTTTGCTAGGAGTGTTTGGGACCAGTTTTCTGGATGAGAAGCAAGGTGGATAACTATGAGAAAAAAGATGGATCTCCCTATCCCTCTCCCTCCCTGCTTCTGTTACTGTTAATCTGAAGAGCAAGGATTTGGAGTGAGCCTCTCCTTTTATGAAATTTTTTTTTATAAGAATTCTGAAAAATTTCCAGCTGGCAGTTCTCCTTGTAACCATTTAGGTATGTCCTGCTGCCTGTGGGCCTCATGTCTCCAGGGTAGGTATGATCTTAGCCTACCACATTTGTAGATGACAGTGTCATATTGCAAAAAAGTTAGACCCTCCCCCACTTCTCTTTTTTATTGACCAAGTCTTAGTTATCGTCTTTCTATCTACAAGTCCAAGTGTTAGCACAACTCAGGTGTATATACAACCCTTAACCTTTAGGAACTCTGTCGAGAAGAAAGACAGCCTAATAGTCTAGAATAGTTAAAGACTGTACATCATGTACTTGATATCTTAAGAGAAAACAGGATACCTGTCTTTTTGGAGGGTTGGGGGGTTCGAGACAGGGTTTCTCTGCGTAGCTTTGCGTCTTTCCTGGAACTCACTTGGTAGCCCAGGCTGACCTCAAACTCACAGAGATCCGCCTGGCTGTGCCTCCTGAGTGCTGGGATTAAAGGCGTGCGCCACCACTGCCCCACAAAACCTGGTATTTTAACACACAGTGTTAGTCCAGCTCTTTCTAGGAAAGTGAAATGTCCCCATGCACAGTAACAGTAGGATTTGTAGCTGAAAGCAACTTTGAGGAGACAGGTTGACTCTGGAGTCCCCAGCTCGGTTTCTGGTCCCATCCATAGACACAGGCTGGGAGTCGGGAGTGGTAAGCATTGAGTAGGAATGTGTATTAGAATTTAGCAGTGTGAGGGCTGGAGACACGGGTTCAGTTTTCAGCAACCCATGTTGGACGGTTCACAACAGCTCCAGGGTTTCTGATTCCCTCATCTAGCTTCCCCAGGTACCCAGAAACACAGCATACACACATAGACACACACACACTCATAAATGAAAGTCATACAGAAAGACAAAGTTGAAAAATTGTTACTAAAATGGTTAGTTGTTTTTTCTTGCCACTCTGATAAAATACCCGAAGAAGCAACTTAAGAGAGGAAGGACTTAGTTTGTTTTAGGGTTTGACAAAGGGCAGTGAGTTGTGACAGGGAAGGCATGGCAGAATCCGTGCCTCGTGGCTATGGTAGGAGTGTGACGTAGCTAATTCATGAGCTAGGAGACAGAGGCAGATCTCTCCAGCTGCCAGGAGCTGGGCAGGCCCTAGTCCTTCAGCCCTGCTCCTGTTGCCCAAGGTCTGCCAACTACACCCTGTATCTACAGTGTTCTACAACTTCCCCAAACAGCGCCACGGGCCGGAGACCTCACATTCCAGCTGTAACAGTTTCACACCCAGTGAAGTGACCGGCTATGGGGAGTGGGTAGCCGACCATTTCTCCACGAGGCTTCAGTCCTGTTAACCAGGGGATGACATTTAGAAACCAAACTACATTCTAGCTGTGCGGCTTACTAAAGGAGTTGTCGTTGCTTCAAGTATCCAATTGTTTTAAGTGTTTGATTGATCTATACAGGATTTGTGTTTGTATATAGAAAGATGAACGGATCCAAACTTTTTCCCAAAATGACTGTTTTTTTAATAAATGACTTTATCTTCTTACTCATGATACATCACTTCCATGTAATTCTGGAATCTTCTGTAGCATTAGTTTTTGTCCAAATACCAAAGCCCTGCACAGCCAGGCATGGTGGCAGAAACCTGCGATCACAGCCCTCTTGAGGCAGAGGCAGGTGTAGCTAGAGTTTTTCTGGTCCTGCCTGGCCTACGGTCAGGACAAATCTCTGTCACCCACCAGTCCCGCAGCAGCTCAGACCCAACCAAGTAAACACAGAGACTTACAAATGGCGCCCAATGTGTTGGCAAGAGTTTCTACCCAAAACCTGAGTAAAAAGATTCTAAAACGGAGCTAAAAACAGTTCCTAGTTGTTTCTCTCAAGTTAGTGGCAGCCTGCATGTTTGAGCTACTATGGCGGGTTCCTGGCGTGTGCACTTGACCTGCAGTATGGCGGGAATGAGGCTTCTGCAAGTGGCACATTAAGCTGCATGGTGGATTTT